CATCCCTATATGGGATCCGAACCCATGGCCTTGGTGTTATCAGCACCACACTCTACCGAGTGAGCCACGGGCCGGCCCACAAAAAGTGTTTTGAACTTGATGGAGCTTATGCTGAGAAATAAAGTCTGTATTTTTTTTTCTCTATTATCTTTTTTGTTGTTGTTACTTAGCTTTTATTTCATAATCATAGACTTAACTGTAATCCAGCCCGACTTGCAGGGGAATAAAAAAAAGTGGAACCCAATGAACTGTAGCAAGAGCACAAAGATTACAGGATATTGCAAGCAGATGGGGTAGAAGTGTACTCTCAGGAGAAATGGTCTGGTGGTTAAGTTAAAACAAGCCAAATATATTAGAGCTGTCTAGAGTGGGCAAAGGTGAGCTTCTTGCTGCTCTTGCCATTCCTGGACCCAAAGCACTCCATGGCTTCCACAATATTCATGCCTTCTTTCACCTTGCCAAAGATCACATGCTTGCCATCCAACCACTCAGCCTTGGCAGTGCAGATGAAAACCTGGGAACTGTTTGTGTTGTGTCCAGCATTTGCCATGGACAAGATGCCAGGACCTGTATGCTTCAGGATGAAGTTCTCATCATCAAATTCCTCCCTGTAGATGGACTTGCTGCTAGTGCCATTATGGTGTGTGTCACCACCCCAGCACATAAATCCCAGAATAATTCTGTGAAATCTGGACTCTTATAACCAAATCCTTTCTCTCCAGTGCTCAGAGCAAAAAAGTTTTCTGCTGTCTTTGGAATATTGTCTGCAAACAGCTTAAAGGAGATGCAGCCCAAGGGCTCAACCACGGTGGAGTTGGCCATGGTTGGCAGCAGGAAGCTTGGGGCAGTGGCAACACCTGCAAAGCCTCTTTTTTTGCTTTTAATTCCATTTTTCCATGAATGTTTTGAAGTCCCCTCACATATGAAAATGCAAAGAACCAAAAGAACCCAAGGCAATTCTGAAGAATAAGCTTGGAGGACATAAACAACCACCTATCAAGAGTTATACATTACTGGTGCGAGGATAAATAGACCAATAAAATAGAAAAGACAGTGTAGAAACTCGAAAATATATACAGACACTTGATTTATGACAAAGATGACACTACAGAGATGATAACATGCATCCTAACTTATCATAGTCTACTAATGTATATTTACAAACATTTGCTAAGATTTGGGAACACTTCAATTTCATGCATACTCTCAATCTGTTTTTGCTGCCATGTGCTTTAATTTTATATGTATTTTAAATCACACCAGACATGGCTTTTTTTTGAGGTGGCTGGCTGGTAAGGGATGGCGTTCTATTTTGTACTCATGTAGTCATTACTCATTTAGACTTATCCATACTTAACTGCTCTTTTTTCCTTCTTGTATCCCTCACCTTCCACCTAAGACCATTTTCTTTCTATATTTCCTTCAGTTGGTGCATTGTTAACTAATTCCCTCCTTACTTCACCCTAATTCCTAATAAGTATTTTTGCTGAATGTAACAGAATTCTAAGTTTGCAGTTACTGCAATATATTGTTTCTGCTGGGAAGTCAGCTGTTAACCTGTTGCTTTTCTAAATTAATTTTTTTCCTGTGGCTTTTGAAACTATGCTATTTTCTTTGGCTTCTTGTGGTTTTGTTACACTGTATTTAGGTGTAGATCTCTTTTTATTTATCCTGCTTGCAATTCATAGGACTTTTAGCATCTATGGCTTTATGTACTGTTTCTTTAAGCATTGCTTCTGCTACCTATGTATTTTCTCTCACATTCATTAAACCTTTTCATGTATGTTAATTTATCTTTTTCTCCATAATAATGTATCTCAATGCTTCATTCTATATATTTCCTTCTAACCTATTTTTTCAGTTCACTAATTTTCTTTTCCAATGTGTCTCATCTGTTGTTAAATTCATCCACTGACTTTTTAATTTCAGTTCCTATATTTTTACAGTTCTGTAATTTCTATTTGGTTCTTTTCCAAATCTGCCTTGTCCTTTTAATTATTCAGATAAAATTTTTAATCTTTTATCTCCCTAAACATAAATTTTAAAGACAATATCCAAAATTCCTATATCTAGAGCTCCTAGGTCTATTTCTATTGTCTGTTGTTACTAGCGTTTCCTTTTGTTATCTTTTCTTTTTTTTTTTTTTTATCCTATATAAAGATGACCGGTAAAGGGATCTCAACCCTTGGCTTGGTGTTGTCAGCACCACGCTCAGCCAGTGAGCCAACCGGCCATCCCTATGTGGGATCCGAACCCGCGGCCTTGGTGTTATCAGCACCACACTCTCCCGAGTGAGCCACGGGCCGGCCCCCTTTTGTTATCTTTGGATATCATACTGTATATGTATGAAAAACTTGAATCACTGTAATCAAACTTTTAAAACTGAAGTTCTTGAGTCTGCTAGATGATTCAAAGCTGGCCTAAAATCTGAGCAAAGTCTATTTTATTTCCAGTTCATCCTTAATCCTACAGTGCTGCTCTTTGGAGTTCTCATCCAGAGCATGCGGTTTATAGGGCTCGTGGTTTATAGGGCCCCCTAACCTCAGTAGGCCCTGAACTCCAAATTTTGACCCCAAGCCTTGAGCCAATGAGCACCCTTTCAGCCTATCAGGCAAACATTCCCCCTGAAAATTAGTTCTAAATGCTGAGTTACCTCTCTAGCTTTCTATCTTTTGGCTTTGTAATCCTTTGCTGCCTTGATCCTCAGATGATGAGCAGATTTTTAAATATTTTGTCCAGCTTTCTATTTCTCCTTGGCAGAAAGATTAGTCCAAATTACCTAGACTGCCACTGTCAGAGTCAGAAGTTCCAAAATTACTGGGAATCTTACCTTTTAGTATTATAAAGTGCCTTTTGTTGTCTCAATGTGTTGCTTCCCCCCTTAATTCAATTTTGCCTGTAATTTTCCTTTTATGTCTTTGTACACTTTTATTTCACTTTCTGTACCCCTTTCTTCTAGATTTTTTCTCTTGAATACAGCATAGTTGTTTATTCCTACTTACTGGAATCACCTATTAAAGAACCACTGCCATAAAAATAAACAAAAAGCATAGTCAAAGAGGAAATATAGAAGTCACCCTTATCTGCGGTTTGGTTTTATGCAGTTTTACCTGTAGGCATGTGGTCCAAAAATATTAAATGGAAAATTCCAGAAATAAGCAATTCATAAATTTTAAATTAAAAAAAATTTTTTTTTCCTTTTTGTCTTTTTTACTGACCGGTACTGGGATCGCAACCCTCGGTGTCGTGCCTGTACTGGGGACCGGCAACGGGATTGCAACCCTCGGTGTTGCGCCCGCACCACGCTCAGCCAGTGAGCGGGAACCGGTCTCCACATGGGATCCGAACCCTCGGCGGGAGCGCCGCTACGCTCCCAAGCAGCGCACTCTCCTGTGCACCACCGGGCCGGCCCTAAATTAAAATTTTTTAAATTTTAAATTAGGGTGATAAAATCTAATGCCCATTCTATACTGCACTGGACATGAATCATGTCTATCCACGTATCCAAATGTCAGTTACTTAGTAGCTGTCTTGGTTATCAGATTGACTGTCAAGGTATTGCAGTGTTTGTGTTCAAGTAACCCTTACTTTACTTAATGATCTGAAAGTACAAGAGTAGAGATGTTGGCATATTGCTATAATTGTTCTATTTTATTATCAGTTATCATTGTTAATTCCCTACTGTGCCTAATTTATAAATTAAACTTTATCATAGGTATGTATGAGAAAAAATATAGTCTACGTAGGGTTTGGTACTACCTGCAGTTTCAGGCATCCACAGGAGGTCTTTAAGCATATTCCCCATGGGTGGGGGCATGGGGGATTTACTGTATTTCCACCTTATACTTACTGTAAATTCTTCTTCCTCTTCGTCACCAGATTCTCCAAATATGTCTGCAATAAGATTTCTAGAAAAGAAACAATTTAAAAACATTCATTTGCTTTCTTCCCATTTACATAGAAACCCCTTTTTAAAATAGGGTTTAACTTACATATAGTAAAATGTGCAGATCTTAAATGTCCAGTTCAATGGGTTTTAACAGATGTATACATTCCTGTAACCAGCACCCTAATTAAGATACAGAACAAACCCATCTACCCAGAAAGTTCTCAACTCCTTCTAGTCGGTTTCCCAACATCAACATCCTAGAGGCAACCACCACTCTGATTTCCATCACCATAGATTAGTTTTGCCTGTTCTTGAACTTCATGTAAATGGAATTATACATGTCCTCTTTCCTTCTTTCACTTAATGCAGTATTTTTGAGATTCATACATGTTATAGTGTGTAGCAATAGCTCAGAAACTAAAATCCTAAATCCCCAAAGTCACGCAATTAGGCAGGATATATTGTATTACATCTGAAGACAAAATTTTTAAAAAAGTTTAAAAAATCTGAAAGACATCCCCTCTCTACCACCTAATAAGAACCCTTGAAAACTCACATTATACCGTCACTTACTCTTCTTCATTGACCGACTCACTATCACTCCCAAAAAGATCCTTTTCTTCATTTTTCTTATCAGACAACTCTTCTTTCCCTGCTTCTTCTTCACTGTCAGATGCTATAGTCTTTTCTCTTTTACCTGATTTGTCTGATACAACATCACTGTCAGAGTCATCTGCATCAGAGACAACTCGACTCTTCTTTGCTGCTACTGAAAAAGAAGATCATCAGTAATCTTATTTTGTCGTGGTCACTTTATTACTAAGCATAACAGGTGTTTTAAAATGGCAGTATGTGGCCAAAAACAAACAAACAAAAAAAAGGGCCTCCTGACACATGGTTTAGAATTTTTAAAAAAATAACTAAAAGGGTCATTCAGAGTCATCTTACAAATTATGTTATTTTGCTTAGGAAAAAGTGGCCAAAAGATGAAGAAAGAAACCATCAATATAAAAGAGGGCATTGATAGCTACCTTTCCTTTTGGGGAATAGAGAAAAATCAAGGTTAGACTGATGGGCAGAACTGACATCCTTTATATGCTGCCTAGTATTAGCAGAACTAAAAAAGACTGGATATCCCTTTTTAGGAATATTCCCCATGTTCCTCAATTGTTAATGGCCAGTTTGAAATTTCTCATCGTCCTTAACGAATTAGCAACATGTATGGTAATTTTCCTTCTCCTACAATAACTGTCAGGTTATAAGGGAATATGTCTTTTCCAATTAAATAATGTTTCATAAAAAAGTAATCAAGCAAAAATCATTTTCCATGAAAATGGGGTCCTAGGTAGCAAAGACTGGAATATTCAGCAGAGACATGGAGTCTCTAAATAGAATCCCCCACCAAAGCTTCTCTGTAGTTGGGCATCAGCAATGTTTAACAAATGAAGAGACATAGCTCTATGGGAGCTCAAGTACTGTTTGGATGGGATCTAGTGAATCAGCTGTCAAAGAGACCCACAGCTAACTCTGGATACAGTCAGGGGTTTTCACATAAACATACTTCTTTGAAACATTACCCTTTCTGGTCGAAAAAACTAAGTCTTTTATTTTCCCAAGACACTTTGTCTAGCTTATCACTCTGACGCAGCCAGAAACTAATAGGTGATGCTATTTAGAACTCAAAAGAAATTTAATATTAAGCTTAGCCAATGATAATCAAGGGAAACAAGTTTCCTCATGATATTTCAGAATATTAAGTTGAATGACAGACCACAGATCCAACATAAGAGCAAGGACGATGTTTCAGCTATAAGCTTAGACAAGAAGTAAATCTACTGATAAAAGGCACAAAGTAATTCCTTACATGCTTTCTCTTCATCTTCACTGTCAGAAAGCACAGCAGCTTATTTCAGCTATAAGCTTAGACAAGAAGTAAATCTACTGATAAACGGCACAAAGTAATTCCTTACATGCTTTCTCTTCATCTTCACTGTCAGAAAGCACAGCAGCTTTTCGCTTTGCTACCTTCTCCTCCTCACCCTCTTTTTCTTCATCTTCATCACTGTCAATTTTTTGCCTTTTGGGTTCTTCGTCCTCACTGTCAGAACTGTGAAAGCTTTTTCTGTCTATATGGCTATCTGAATGAAAAGAATCATTCTGCACTTCCGTATCCTCTCCCTTATTCTCGCCATCGCTGTCATCATCCGACTCCAGCTTCTGTTTGTGTCTGGAGACGCCCTCCGTCTCTGAATCACTGGCAGGTCCCTTCTGAGGCTCCTCACTCTCAGAGTCACTGACTCGGGGTTTGGGAAGGTCCTCATTTTCAGAATCACTGGCCTGGTGCCTTGGAGGGTCCTCACTTTCTGAGTCACTAATTCGGGGTTTGGGAAGCTCCTCATTTTCTGAGTCACTGGCCTGGTGCCTTGGAGGGTCCTCACTTTCTGAGTCACTAATTCGGGGTTTGGGAAGCTCCTCATTTTCTGAGTCACTGGCCTGGTGCCTTGGGGGTTCCTCACTTTCCGAGTCACTGATCCGAGGTTTAGGAAGCTCCTCACTTTCAGAATCACTCATTCGAGGTTTGGGAGGCTCCTCATTTTCTGAGTCACTGGCTTGGTGCCTTGGCGGCTCCTCGCTCTCAGAGTCACTGATTGGGGGTTTTAGAGCACTCTCTGTTTCAGAGTCACTGGCAGGACTCTTTTGGAGCTCTTCGATCTCGGAATCACTGGCAGGGTGCTTTCTAACATCTTCGTTTTCTGAGTCACTTGCATGCCCGTTAAGAAGCTCCTCATTTTCAGAGTCACTTCCAGGTAATTTCCTGGTCTCACTCTCAGAGTCACTCCCATGTTGATTGACATCCTCATTTTCAGAGTCACTTGCAGGAGGCTCTGCACGCTCCTCAGATTCAGAGTCACTGTCCTTTTGCCTGTGAAGCTCCTCACTTTCAGAGTCACTGGCATTAGGATTTGAGGGTTCATCATTCTCAGAGTCTGTCACATGTCTTTTACTAAGGCCATCTTCTTGATCACTAGGTTCATTCTGAAGAATAAAGTGAGAAAAAATTAGGAAAGTGCAAAAAAAAAGGTTTGGTAATAAAATGCTAAAACTTTTCAATGACTCTTTAAATGTAGGAATATGTGCACTTAAATGTAGAATTCTTGTCCTATTCCTACATAGAAACATGTCCCTTTAAAGAAGGCCAATCTATGAAATAGCTAACATGATTTGGATTCCAAAATGGGGAAAGATAACCAGCCTTTCCACTCAAACAAATTTGTAAAGCATACCCAGATTATTTATTTAGGAGACTAATTTTGAAGAGCTAGATTAAAAAAAAAAAAAAAAAAAAAAAACCTAATGTTCTCACATAATTTTAGTTCCCAAAAATCTAACGATATTTTTCAAAGAAATATAAGCTAGCAAGTAAACAAATTCTTTAACAAAGGAATGTTCTTGGGTTTTACATGGTTAAAATTATTTTAGGGAAAAGAACTATCAAGCTTTATTTTATTTAAAGAGTCAAATAACATACAAGGGACATTCTCCCAAGAGAATCTAAACAAATAAGGAGAGGAGTTAACATCTCCTAAGCACCTATTAAGATCTAATACCATGTTAGGCTCCCTCCTATAAGTCTGTTTACTCCTTACAACAAGTAAACTTGTCATGATATGAAAACTGAGGCTTAGAGTAGTCATGGTCACACATCTAGTAACCCTAGAACAAAAGCTTATATTTGGGGGGAAGAATATACAAAATTAAACAAACCAAAATACTAATAACAAATGTTTTAGGATCTGGAGAATTTTTCCTCCTCCAATATCTCAACATTCAAAAACACAGTGATATTATTCCAGTTTAAAAAGTGAACGTATTAAAAAAAAATAAATAAGTAAGTAAAAAGTGAAAGTATTTCAGTGTCTGAATGTTCCCCCTTAAAAATTTACTGGGCCAAATACTTCTCTTTAGAATATGTGACTGAAGCTATATGAACTTACCACAGGTCAATTTTCAAGAACCAAAGAGTCTTTAATGATGTGTATGCCTACCATCATGCTATGAAATAGTTAAGTGACAAGAGAATTCAGTAACAAGACAAATGGCATGAAAATGTTTTCACAAAACCCACGCTTTAACTTACTCTATACTCATTTAAGGAAGACTAACTTTGCTGTGTCTACAACTTCAGATAGAGTACAAAAAAATCATAAAATGAACTAGCATACAAAGCAAAAGTTTGAGGAGTTTCTTTTCATTTTTTTTTTTTTAAAGATGACCAGTAAGGGGATCTTAGCCCTTGACTTGGTGTTGTCAGCACCATGCTCTCGCAAGTGAGTGAACCGGCCATCCCTATATGGGATCCGAACCCGTGGCCTTGGTGTTATCAGCACCGCACTCTGCCGAGTGAGCCACGGGCCGGCCCAGGAGTTTCTTTTCACATTTTATTACTATAGCAGCAGAGCATTCCAAAGAAACAGTAATGGCTATACACATTCACTGAAATATAACATATTCAGGATACTGCCTTAAATCATAAATTTTTCAAAATTCCCAAAGACATTTTTCTTAGGTTCTTGGTGGGCACTCAGCACAGTACTAGATTCCTTATCAATCATACCACTCCATTATCCCACTGCAACTGGTACTTATCCATTAAATGTGATTATTAGGACTGCAGGGATAACACAGAATCTTGCAATCACAGTACAATACTCCATATATGCTTAAAGTTTACTTTAGCCATATTTCATAATTTAAAAGAATGTAGATGGAAAATTTAACTATCTGGAATGTAATCTCTAAGACGGCAGGCATTTTTTGGTTTGTTTTCTTCTCTTAAGGTATCCCAGGAGCACTGAATAGTCTCCAGTACATACACAAAGTATTTGTCGAATGAGTAAGTGGGGATAATATAAAGAATAATTAATTTAGCAAGCATTTATTTAATCGTTACTATGTGCCAGGTACTAGGAATCAAGGCTGAATATGTGTTTATCTGGAATGTAATCTCTAAGACGGCAGGCATTTTTTGGTTTGTTTTCTTCTCTTAAGGTATCCCAGAAGCACTGAATAGTCTCCAGTACATACACAAAGTTATTTGTCGAATGAGTAAGTGGGGATAATATAAAGAATAATTAATTCAGCAAGCATTTATTTAATCGTTACTATGTGCCAGGTACTAGGAATCAAGGCTGAATATGTGTCACTGCCTGGCCTCAAGGAGCTAGCCAAACATATCCTAATAATATAGGGATATGCACTATTATGAAGGTGTGCATGTAATATGAGGTGTCCTCAAAAAGTTTATGAACACATTTATATTATCTTTTAATTATATTTTTCCATGAACTTTTTGAAGTATCCTCGTATTTTGAAAGCCTACAGGAGGTGCATTTCTACGAAACTGAGCTGCAAAAGGTTTGGAGACAATAGGTATTTTTGCACTTAGTTTGTGATGACTTTGAGTTAAGAAGTTAACTGTATTGGGGGATGGGAGAGAGGTGTACAGGTACCAGCAGAGGCAGCTATAGCAGGAGGCAAAAGGGAAAACTGTAACTGGCTTTAGGAATACTTCCCACGACATACCTATTATGTAACTCTTAACACCATGTTTATGTGTAACTCTATCTTAGTTGCAAACAACAGAGACCATCTCTGGCTAGGTCCAAAGAACAATCTTCCAAGAATCAAAGTGAGATTAATGACTAAAGACAGAAAGAGTAAGAACCAAAGCAGCTCAGAGAAGCTTAGAAAAGAGAATTCGGGCCGGCCCCGTGGCGCACTCGGGAGAGTGCGGTGCTGGGAGTGCAGCAACGCTCCCGCCACGGGTTCAGATCCTATATAGGAATGGCCAGTGCGCTCACTGGTTGAGAGCGGTGCGGGCGACACCACACAAAGGGTTGCGATCCCCTTACCGGTCACGAAAAAGACAAAAAAAAAAAAAAAAAAAAAAAAAAAAAAAAAAAAAAAAAAA